TAAATGTTACGGGTATAGTCTACCTACTACCTACCAATAAATGTTACGTATAGAAGAAATTTCCTAAAGGCAAATTTTCAAGGGCTAGCTCCAAAGAGATCATTTCCCAAAGTAGATGAAATATTTTCATCATTTTCTAAAAACGAGTTTTATAAAATACGTTACTTTCAGTACTTTATTGTTTATTTTTTCTTCAGGATTTTTTTCGTCCCAATTAAGACGAATATTTCATTTCGCACTTTTTACGCAAACATAAAAATGCATAGTTATAATTATTATAAAATTTAAAAAGGTATAATTCCATTGATTGTTTTTACTTTATTGAGCTTTGAGGGGGATTCAAGCACTTTTTCTAATAAAATTTTTTTCTTTAACTGTTGGATTTCAAGTTAGCCTTTTTTATATCGTACTCCTTAAACTAACATTTTCGTAGATTTTCCTTTTAAAGATGTATCAATGTAGATCGTCCATAAACCTAACCTTGGGGTAATGTGAGTTGCCACAAAAAAATTGAGCCAGATCGGTTTCGCCGTCTTGACATCCATTCATACAAAAAGACAAGCAAAACATATATATATATATACATATACATATACATATACACATACATATACATATACATATACATATACATATACATCTACATATACATATACATATACATATACATATGCATATACATATACATATATATATACATATACATATACATATACATATACATATACATAATTTTAGATTAACATTTCTATAGAAAAACTTGTTGTTTTATTTATGTTCGTTAAATCAATATTGGGCCCAAACCTGCGTCATCATGTTATAAATTATACGCTTTAGGACGCAAAAAATCCATGTGTAGGTGGATTAGGAACAGTAGAAGAGGTTCATACAGGTATTTGTATTTAATATTCTACCACGTGCGCGCTTACTAAAGGTCGGGAGGGTGTGTGCTCAGATTTGGGTGTATGTTTGTGTTCGTTGGTTTGTGTGTTCGACTAGAAGCTATAAGTGAAATCTACAAAAGGGTGGAGCACACCTTTATACAGTTTCATAGTTTCATAATGTCTAGTTGTCTAGTTGTATAGTTGTCTAGTTGTATATGGTTGTCTAGTTGTCTGGTTGTCTAGTTTTCTACTTGTCTAGATGTCTACTTGTCTAATTGTCTACTTGTCTAGTTGTCTACTTGTCTAGTTGTCTACTTGTCTAGTTGTCGACTTGTCTAGTTGTCTACTTGTCTAGTTGTCTACTGGTCTACTTTTCTACTTGTCTAGTAGTCTACTTGTCTAGTTGTCTACTTGTCTAGTTATCTACTTGTCTAATTGTCTACTTGTCTAGTAGTCTACTTGTGTAGTTGTCTACTTGTCTAGTTTTCTACTTGTCTAGTTGTCTACTTGTCTAATTGTCTACTTGTCTAGTTTTCTACTTGACTAGTTGTCTACTTTTCTAGTTGTCTACTTGTCTAGTTGTCTACTTGTCTAGTTGTCTACTTGTCTTGTTGTCTACTTGTCGAGTTGTCTTCTTGTCTAGTTGTCTACTTGTCTAGTTGTCTACTTGTCTAGTTGTTTTCTTGTCTAATTTTCCAGTTGTCTTTTTGTATATTTGTCTAGTTGTCTAGCTGTCTAGTTGTCTAGTAGTCTACTTGTCTAATTTTCCAGTTGTCTTTTTGTCTAGTTGTCTAGTTGTCTTTTTGTCTAGTTGTCTAGTTGTCTAGTTGTCTAGTTGTCTAGTTGTCTAGTTGTCTAGTAGTCTAATAGTTTAGTTGTATGGTAGTCTAGTTGTATAGTTGTTTAGTTATTTATAGCTCTAGTTCGCTAGCTATCTAGTTATCTAATTATCTAGTTATATAGTTGTCTAGTTTTCTAGTTATCTAGTTTTCTAGTTATCTAGTTCTCTAGTTATCTAATTCTCTAGTTATCTAGTTCTCTAGTTATCTAATTCTCTAGTTATCTAATTCTCTAGTTCTCTAGTTATCTAGTTCTATCGTTATCTGGTTCTATAGTTCTCTAGCTCTCTAGTTCTGTTGTTCTTTATTTCTCTAGTTCTCCAGCTCTTTAATTCCTCTGATCTCTAGTTTTTCTACTGTTCTAATACTCTAGTGCTTTAGATATTTAGTTCTCTAGTTTTTATATCCACTTCTCTAGTTCTCTAGTTCTGTAGTTCTTTAGTTCCCTTGGTCTTTAGTTTTAAAGTTCCCTTGATCTCTAGTCATTCTAGTTATCTAGTTCTTTAGTTCTTTAGTTCTTTAGTTTTCTAGTTCTCCAGTCTTCTAGATCTCTAGTTATCTAGTTCACTAGTTATCTAGTTTTCTAGTTATCTAGTTTTCTAGTTATCTAGTTTACTAGTTATTCAGTTTACTAGCTATCTGGTTTTCTATTTATCTAGTTTTCTAGTTTTCTAGTTCTCTAGTTCTCAACTCCTCTAATTTTCTAGTTCTCTAGTTCTTTAGTTGTCTTGTTTTCTAGTTCTCTAGTTCTATAGTTCTTTAGTCATCCATTTTTCTAGTTCTCTAGTTCTCAAATACTCTAATTCTCTATTTCTCGTGTTCTCCAATTCTCTGGTTCTCAAATTATCTTGGTCTTTAATTCTCTAGTTTTGTGTAACTAAAATGTTTAGATAGCTGCTATGGAATTGAGGCATTGCCACAAACTCTGCTTTTCTAATTCCTATAACTTCGCACTAAAATTTCGTAGACCTGAGTTATTTCAAACTATGAATTCTGTTAGATCAATTAATCACAGTTTTGAATATCAAAGGTTAAAACCAGCAGGCTGCAAAGATATAGGGATTAGAACATCTGAATTTGTGACAAAGACTCAATTCCTTTATGTAAATCGAAAAAAATCACGAAACCTCTCGATCTGTCCAAATGTTTTCAGACGATATAGCAATAGAGATACAGATAAAGGGCTTTAGTTTTATTTCTCAATTATTTACAATACGTTCTTTTTATAATGTTTTACATGAAGTAGTAAAATTGTAAACATAAAAATACCTGATAAAATTGATTAAACAAAATATAAAATATAAATTCCAAATTAAATTGTATTCGCGCTATATGTGATTTTGTGACTTTAACATTTTAAGCTGACTGAAAAGAAACATTAGTTAGATAATGGTTTAAGTTGCTAGGGTTCTAAGATGGTCTTCCTAAATATACTCTCTAATGAATATAAATGTATAGGTGTCCACTGTCCACCAGTATTTTAGGTATAATTAAATCCTAGCTCTCTAGGTAGACATAGATTAGGTATTCTAAGAACGGGTATATATATAGAGAAAATGACAATAATTGTCGCAAAAACATGAGAAAAAATACTTTAATTTCTTTGAAATAGGGTTAGTCCCTAACTGTTCTTAGGTTTAAATAAGAAAACAATATTGATACAACACAACACAAAGGAGATCTTTAATTTTCACATCAATGCAAAAATTTATGAGGAAAATCCTTATAAATTTATCATGATCCTCATAATCTTCATTTCTTCTAGATTTCTGTCAGAAACAGGAGAAGGAGAAACAGGAGGAGGAGAAACAGGAGTAGAAGAACAAGTAGTAGGAGAAACAGGAGTTGTAGAAACAGGAGTAAGATAAACAGGAGTAGGAGGAACAGGAGTAGGAGAGACAGGAGTAGGAGAAGAAAAAATCAGGAGGAGGAGAAACAGGATAACGGTAAAAAGGAGTAAGAGAAATAGGAATATGAGAAACAGATCATGGGAAACAGGAGAGGAGAAACAAAAATATGAGAAACAGGATCACAAAAAACAGGAGGAAAAGACACGGAAACAGGAGAAATAGGAATATGAAAAACAGGATAATGGGAAACAAGATACAGGAAGATACAGGAGAAATAGGAATATGAGAAACAGGATAATGGGAAACAAGATACAGGATCAGGAGAAAATAAATAAAAGAAACAGGACCATGGGAAACAGGAGGAGGAGAAACAGGATCATTTGAAGCAAGAGCTAATGACACATTACTATGAGAAAGAGAAGAAAAATCAAAAGAAATTTAATCCGCTTGAAACTAGAATGTGGAATGAATCAATGGAAGCTGTCGCCATGTAGAGGCATTATTTCTCAAGATTTTAACGAGGTGGATAAATCTGATAAAGGTTTAAACCTTTTCTTGACCTTTTATCCGTGTTAATCAACTATAATCTCGTATCAGGGTACACTCTACACTCATTCATTACACTCTCAACACAATTAGGGAGTTCTTTTAGAGAAAAATAATTTTAAATTTAAAAAAAAACTTTTTTCAATAAATATTATTTATACCCTTCTTTGTGATTATAATGACATACTTACAAATATATCTTCAAAAAAAGGTTAACACATATCTGAATCTTAACCAATATGATTAACAATTACAATTATTTACTTGGCATGAAAGTACCTTAACAAGACTTAATTAACAGTTAGAGAAAAATAAAATAGATGATAAAGAGGAGAGGAAAAAAAATATTTAGGAATTTGGAATAAAGGAGGACAACAGGAATTGAGAGATGAGAACAATGAGAAATGGAATGATAAATGATTATTTATGTCTAAAATTCAATTAAAACAGACTTTAAAAACAAGGAGAGAAAACAGAGAAGAGAAATTTGATATCTATAAAAGGAAGAATCGAAGATGTTCTAAATGAAAGTGTTGAGCTCCACCCTAGACTGGGAGTAGACGATCTCCTCCCTGAGTAAGAATGCGGTAGTGTAGTAGCAGGGCGGAGTAGGGCGGAGCACCTACATCTACAACGAGAAAGCATACACACCCATGGTCTTATGAACTTGAACTTGCAGATTTATATAACCGCCCATTTTTATAGAAAATAGGCATATTTAGATATAACCAGGCCTAGACTAAAAAGATGACATATCTGCCTGGCTCCTATTGGTTGGAGAGGAACCAATGAGATAATGAGCTGGGCGCGGGATGGTTGGCGGGCCGAGCAACAGAACCCGGGTCAGGTGTATTCCTCATCCACTCAGTTGCTCAATACACCTAGACAAGGTGAGACCTCTACAAATAATGTGGTTGAATCCAGACACTACTGTAGCTCCGTACTCTGGGTGTATCCCTGAGACTGGATATTCTTACAACACCCAACCTTCTCCAGCCTATACTCCACCCCTGGATATACATTCTAGATATTCTCCTCCTCTCTACAACCAGTACTATGATCCATCCTACTCTACCTATACGACACAGTATCCAACCTATTCTACAGAACACCCAGAGCAAATCTATCTTCCAACACCCTCTCCATCCTATGAATCACAACCATCTCCAGTGAGTGGATCCGAGACATCCAACCCTGGATACGTTCTTCCATCTCCTTCTCCGTCATTCCCTTCTGATACACCATCTCCAGGTTCTGGCTGTACAGAGAGAAGTCCAACCCATGTAACTGATCTAGATAGATACAACTATACATATCCATACATGGGAGAGGATACAGGATACTATGGATACAATAATATCAAGGAGGAGCCTAGTACAGTGTACATGTATGGATATTCTCAACCCCCTGTATCCAGTATATCAAGTACAGGTCCAACTAACTATCTTGGATTAGATCTAAGTTTATATTCTCCGGAATCTGATCAACCCAAGAAGAGAAGAAGAAGAACAGTAAAGAGAACTCCAGTTATCCATACTTGTCCTCAACAGGGGTGTTCTAAAGTTTATAACAAAGCATCTCATATGAAAGCTCACATGAGAACCCATACTGGAGAGAAACCGTATCTATGTACATGGCAGGGTTGTGGATGGAAGTTCTCCAGGTCTGATGAACTAGGGAGACATATGAGAAAACATACCGGGATCCGTCCTTATAAATGTAATATGTGTGAACGTGCATTTGCAAGATCAGATCACCTTGCTCTCCATATCAAGAAGCATTTGGAGTAAAATTGAACCTGAAACCTGACTAAGAAGTACTTGGAGTACCGCGCTCCCAGATTATTTTATCCCAATATCCAATATCCAGCTCTAAGATGAACCCAGATTTATCTTACTACCTCTAGTCTTTCCTGGATCTGAAGTTGACCGGTCCTTGTCGGCGCTCCTTCTGACCGGTCCCCGTTGTCGGTTAATTAGCAAAGCTGCTGCCTTGTATAAAAATCAGAAGGTTTCATCTGAGTTAAAAGATGTATAATGTATCTATCTATCTATCTAACTATCTATATATATTTGCACACTTCTGCACCTAATAAATTTTGATCTCATGTTAACAACTGTTTCTTTATTCGTGTTATAAAAAGTTTAAAAATGTAGGAAAGGTACTCGGTATGAGACAGAAGGAAAGTTCGTTTACAAATTAATTAATTGGATGAAAGAAAGAATCACAAGAAGAATTAGATATGGGGCGCACACAGACGAATTGATTTTTTTTTCAATCTGATGGGATGTAAATTTTCAAACTAGACTATTTAATT